CCCAGAGCCACGAAGAATGGAGAAAAGTAGTGGCCTTGTTTTTCAAGGATTCACCAGCGATGTCACAATCCCAGTGTGATGTCAAAACTGCCTCAAGAGTTATGAACTCTGGCCTTGTAGCAGAGTCAAGGGAGGGTGGGTTTCAGAGAGCAGCCTGCTGTTTACAAACTGCCATCTTGGAGACTGGCATGCAGCCAAAGGTCTAGTCAAGTCAAGATGGCAGGGAGGCTCGGACCCTCACAAAGCCTTGCAGCCTCCTGCAGAAACCACCAGCATTTACCCCACACTGGGGGTGCTCACCCTCTCCAGCATCTATGAAACATGGGCATTCTGGGAGCGACTCACTCCATCCAAACCATCACATGCCCACCTTGAAACACACAAGCTAACTGAACCCCTATGCTTCCAGGCATGCTTTGGACACACGCTTCTGACACCCATAGGCCAGCCTGCTCCTCTCTGCCCAAAGGGCCCAACACAGCTCTCCAGAGAGGGTATTGGAGTCCACCTGGTTCTCAGCCCAGCCCAGTTGGGTGTTTCCTCCCAAGGGCTGTATCTCCCAGAGTCTCCACCCATTTCCTAACTGCTCTGACACAAGGCTGACAGGGGACCAGATGAAGTACAGTGTGTGGCTCAGGCCAGTGCTGACATATGGGCCTCAATCCCAAGTTGGTGGTCACTGTCATCTTTAGGCTTTCTTGGAAAGGGGGCACAGAACAGACATAGGACCTTCAGGCATTTGCAGGCCACTCGTGTCACAAATATTCACAGGAGCATGGAACACTTGCATTTTAACTAAAACTTGAGACCACAACGTGACTCCCTTTCATAGCTGTGTCCCAGTGGCTCAAGCGCCCTCCCAACTTAAGAGGAACCTGGCCAGTAAGGACAATCTAACTGGCCTCAGGCAGGTGACACTGCTCCTCAGAGCCTCAACTGCCCCCAAAGCACAGCAGGAACAATAAGCTTATCCTCCTGGCAGTGTTGTCAAAAACAATGGGCTGCCCTGACTGGTGTGGCTCAGTGGAATGAGCACCAGCCTGCAAACTAAAGGGTCACCAGTTCAATTCTGTCAAGGCACATGCCTGGGTTGTGGGCCAGGTCTCCAGTGGGGGGCATGGGAGAGGCAACCCATTGATGTTTCTTTCACATGTATGTTTCTCTTCCTCTCCTTCTTCCTCCCTTCCCCTCTCTCTGAAAATAAGTAAAATCTTTACTTAAAAAAAAAAAGAATAAAGGGTTTACAGGGGTCTGGCCCATAGCCAACAGGGGCAGAGCCACCTAGTCCTAGAGGTGGCCCATCTATAAAGCAAACAAGGCTGGCAAGAAGCTGCCCTGCTCAGGGCCAAGTGAGGTGCCCTCCAGGAAAGGGAGACAAGACCGCCTCCCAGGGCCTTGCTGTGAGGGGAAAGAGAAGCTAAATTAAGGCTCCTCCTGCCACCAGTGCCCAGGCTGACATGCACATAGCCGTCCCCTGCACAGCAGGCAAGCAGCACCCAGTACAGCTCCAGAACGGTAGTGGTGTATTCACTGCAGGCCTCCTGTACCCCCCGCCCATACACACTTTCAAAGGACACATCCCTGCAGCTGCCCTCCCCCAGCCCCTCATGTCTCAAGGCCTGTGCACCCAGCTTGCCTGGACCCCTTACCCAGCAGACCTCAGCTCTGGCATCTCCTAGAAGCACCTCTCTCAATCCTTTCATGTCACCCGCCCCATGCCATCATGTTGCACCATTTTATTTCCTTCCTGACAATGACCACTGACAAGTTCTTTGTGTTGATTTCTGTGCTGCCCTGTTCATTATCTGTCTCTTACTTCTACAATGTCAGCTCATGACACTAGGAGCCTGCCTTGGTCACTTGTGAACTTCCAGATCCTCAGTAGTGGCCCTGCACAGACCAGGTGCTCAGTCAAATTCAGGTAGCTGCAAGAGTCCAGGTCCCCCGTCTCCAGGGCTCCACTCTAACCTCCAGACAAGGACTGGCTCTGGGTAGAAGCACCAAGTGCACATGAGGAGTCAGGATGGTGCTGAGGGCACACACATGCCAAAAGGATCCCCACAGGCCAGGGAGGAAGTGGATATGGAGCTCAGAGAGGGCCAAGCACTGGGACCCTCACAGCCATAAGAAGAGGAGGAGCCAGGGCTCAGAGAAGGCCAGGTGCTAGGATTTCTCAGTGCTATGAGAAAAAGGAACTGGCCTGGCAAGGATCAGGCCTTGGTCCAAGACCCCACGCAGGTAGAGGTGAGATTCAAACCTAAACAGGCTCCAATCCCCAGGCTTCTTAGGCCTCTCCCTGGGCCCTCAATTCTCCCTTAATAACAATATGCTCCTCTCCACACAGGAGAGGAAAAGGTTATCCAGCAATGGAGCCCACCAAATCCAACAATAAAATGCCCAGGTGGTCGAGGCAGGTGCCCCAGGGAGGGTCACTTCCTCAGAGCGGTCGGGGGACCACTGAGCTTCTCTGAGCTTCTCTGAGCTTCTCTGAGCTGGCACATGAGGCTGTCTTGGAAGAATGGGTTGTGTCCACACTTCTTCCTCTGTCTTCTCTCCTGAAAGTAACCCATCACAGCAAAAAAGAAGATCCACAAGAATGGCTCCTTCAGGACTCTCTTGAATTTTTATATTCAAGGATAAATCGCACGAAGCCCAAGTCTGGATGGCTGGCAGCTGTGTGTATTACCACATCTTCACCTTCCACCAAATTCCAGGCAGGCCACAAGGTCTGCACAAAGGCAGCTCAGACTTCAGATCCCTCTGAAGAGAGAAATCTAGGGGACTTGTAAGGGAGCCGGTCCAACAGCTAGGATTACAGGAAGTTCCTCTCCCGTCCCCTGCTACTTCTGAATTAGTACAAACCTTTTCGCAATTAAAAAGTAAAAATAAAACCCTCTCCACAAGTTGCCATTGGCAAACCCATATAACCACAGCATGAGAGAGAGAAAACTCTACATTATTGACAAAGCTGCACATCTGAGGTTTTGTTGACAACCAATATATTGTTCTGGTCACACAAACAAGTTCTTCAAGTCACCTGCCCCATACCCAGCACCCAAAAAGTCCAAAGAGCACCTGAGCTGCCCTCATTTTAGCCCAGTCTACCACAATGTCCAATGGGTATGATTAAATACAAAAAATTGCCAAGTCACTTAAATTACCAGACTGTTTTTGAGAAAAACACAAGTTTGGGTCCCTTAAATTTTAGCCCAGACAGCCAAGTTGGCCAGGACAGCTTGAAGTTCTTTGAGGGAGCCCCTCCTAGCAACTGACTCTAACCTATACAGCTAGGCTCCACATGGGACCAGCCTGAGTGTGCAGTTACCTTCACCCTCACATGTGGAAGATCTAACTTAGTTAGGGGATGTAACCAACACCCTAAATTAAAAATAGCAGTGTGACAGCATGAGGTGGATGCACAGGCAGGCCTTCCGGACCAATGGATCAAGTGAGGGCAGCATGGCAGGGAAGGCGGGGCTCCTAACCCAAAGTGACCAGGTACCAAGTTCACCTTATTTACATGACTCATGAGCTCTCCCCCAGCTCCCTCTAGGAAAGTCTGCCTTCCTGCAGGACAAGTCAGACTCAGGAAGGGAATTCCTCAGGGAAGGGAGGCTCAAGTCAACCACTGTGCTCCCTACCTTCTCCTCTTCCTCCCCTGCAGGGAGTGCCTCAGCCTCACCTTGGGGAATCCTTCTGACAAGATGAGAACTTAGAAAAAAAAGATAAGGTCTCACTTCTATTAAGGGGAAACTGAGACACCAGAACAGGAAGGAAATTGCCCCAAAAATGGGAAGCCCGGGAAGGGTGGGCACCCAGGAAGTGGTAGTAATGAAACAGGGGAAGAAATTCCCAGCTTAGCTAATAGTGCTGAACAAGTCTGGGGCAGGAAGAAAGCCACATTCCTTCCTAGTTAGTCTCTCTCCTCACCCGCCCCAAGGCCCCCTCATCCCTAGTAAACACAAATACATACACGCACTGAGGGAGGCCTCCTCAGTCACCTCTGATTATGAAGCCCCCACACCAGGCAAGGCAGAAAAGAGCTCCCAAACCACTCCCCTCAGGACCTGATCACCCGGGCACCTGCAACTTCTGTCCCAACAGAGACTGAGGGCGCCATGATACAAACAGAAATGGGAAGAAGCAGGTTTGACCACAGCCCCAGATGTGCCCCAAAGTCAGGCCTAAAAGAAGGTGCACAGCAGCCTCTTCCCCATCGCCTGCCCTGAACCAGGTGGCAGAAATGAAACGTCTTGAACTTCCCCAGATGGGCCCAAATAGGCCCTTGAGAAGTTGAAAGTCAGCGGCCAGGTGCTGTGGACAGAGTTCCCTCCCAAGTCCCCACCACCGGCTCCCAACCTGAGAAAAGCACCACGTCAGCGACCCCCTACATTCACAGCTTCTTCTCCACAAAACACTCCCACTCTCTAAAGGTGTCCAGTGAAACAAGGTCACCTGGGGGGTGGGGGGAGGCAGTGGGAGGAGTTGCAGACAAGCTGTCAATTTCTACGCAAACTCTCCTTCCCAAGAACCAAGAGTGAGCCCAACTCCAGGGTCCTCACTGGAAAAAGTCAAAGACTGCCTCCGCACACAAACGGTACAGAACCCCACAGGCACCCTGACAGCGGTGCCCCACTTACCCACCCTTGCCAGGGACCCTGCCGGAGAAGCCCCAACCCCACACCCCTCCCCCGGCGAGGTGAACAGTTCGGTTCCGGGTGGACAGGGGAAGGCCCCGGACGCCTCCAGGTGCCACACAAACGCCCCCCGGACCAAGCGCGAGGGTTCGGACCCCTTGGCTGGCCCAAACCGCCCACCAGTGTCGCCTCCCAATGCCGAAAAGAAACATGATTCTCTGCACCATGCCGGCCAAGGAGCCCACAAACAGCACCCCGAACGCCAGACCCCGCGCCCCCAGGCCCGGACGCCGGGCGAGAGGCGCGCGAGGCCGGCCCGCGCCCCGACGTCCCCGACGGCCGCACGGGGCCCGCGCCGCTCACCTGGCTGGCACGGTAGTTCTCGAAGGCCCTCAGGGCACTGTCGGTGAGCTTCACGTGAAACACAGACACCTTGCTACCGTCGCTCACCCGCCCGCACGACAGCCCGTAGCTCCGACTCTCCCTCAGCGCCGCCATCTTGCGACCATCGCTACCCGGCCCCCCTTCCAGACTCCAGGGCCAGCGCTCCAGACCCGCCCCGCCCCGCCGCCCGCTGACGTGCTGCATTATTCATGACGCCCTGCACACGCCCTCTCAGGATGCGGCGAAGCTGGCCGCGGACGACGTAAGGCCCGCCGACGTGCTTTGAAATTCACGAGACAAGGCTGGCCACGCCTCCTGCGGGCTACGAAGCCCGTAGTCACGCCCCGGGCTTACAGGGGCATATTCATGAAGCTTGAATGACCCACCTCAATGGTCATTTCCGCTCTTGGACTCCGCCTCGGCAGGCACACCTTTCCAGGCCCCGCTTATATATTATTCATAACCTTGACTCAGCCAAACCCGTCGAAGCCCCGCCCACCGGCCGCTGACGTGAGGTATTATTTATGAGGTCTCCAGGCCTTCAGGCTTTGGCCTCTGTTGAGACGCAGTGAAGGCGTGAAGGGGGCGGGGGCAAGCGCTAAACACGTGGGGGGCGGAGCCCTCGGTTGCCCGAGTGAGTGGGCGTGGCTATGCAAAGCGAGCGCGCGTAGGCCACTGGGTTGTCCTGGTAGGGTTTAATGTGGGCGGATAGGAGTCGCTTCAGCGCCGCCACTCACCCCTAGCGCTTTTAGGGGATTCAGGAGGCCGGTGAACTTTGCTCATGTTTAAGAATGGGCTTTTAAAAGAATGAAGTCCTGACGGTCTTCTTAGGGGAGCCTGCTGTTGCCTTTCCTGTCTCCTCCCCCTCTTCTTACTTCGAGGCGCGTTTTCCCTGCCTCTTTCTCCTAAGCTCCAAAGACCCTTTTGTCTCTGCAACTTGTTTCCTAAAGCCCCACCTCTTCTACCTCTGCGACTTTCTAAATAAACTTTCTTACATTTTGGGGTGGAAAATCGTACGTGTCGCCCAGGCCCCGTGAGATCATTGTTATCCAGCTCCCCTATTTAAAAAAAAAGTCTTAAGTATTACAAAATTAATCCATTTAAAGTGTAAAATTCAGTGGCATTTAGTATATTCACAATGCTGTGCAGCCACTACCACTATCTAGTTCCAGAGCATTTTAATTACCTTAAGAGGAAACTCCAAACCCACTAAGTCACTCCCCATGGCTCCTCCCCAGTCCCTGGCAACCACTAACCTACTTTCTGTGCCTATGGATTTGCTAATTCTGGACATATTGGATATATCCTGGAATCAAACAACACATGACCTTGTGTGTCTGGATTCTCTCAGCATGTTTTTAGGCTTTATCCATGTTGTAGCCTATACCAGTACTTCATTCCTTTTTGTGGCCAAGTAATATTCCATTGTGTGGATTGACCATTTTGTTTATTCATCATCTGTTGATAGACATTTGGGTTGTTTCCACTTTTTCACTATGATGAATAGAGCTGCTGTGAACATTCGCATACAAGTTTTTGTGTGGATGGATACTTTCTGTTAGATCTGTACCTAGGAGTGAAATTGTCAAGTCATTTGGTAATTCTATGTTTAACCATTCAAGGAACTGCCAGGCTGTTTTCCACAGAAACTGCATCACTTTATTAAGCTCTCATTGTACAGGTGGGGAAACTGAGGCTAAAGACAAGTGCTAGCTCGCCCAGGAAAGCTCCTCCTGGGCTTGTGGGCCTCCAGACTTGTGGAAAACTCTGGGGTTGTTTTCTTTCTCCCTTTTAATCTAATTACAGATGGTGGTCATAGGATGAAGATTTTCATGTAAGAGAGGAAGGTGAAGTTTAGGGACTTTCTGTATGTCCCTACCCAAGTGATCTTGTTAGTTTTGCCCACCACTGCCCAGCCAGCACTACCATCTGTATACCTCCTGACCATGAAATGCTGAGGTTCTCTGCTCAGTGCTTAGGACCCATGACTGCCTTTTGGGATGGATATGCTGGTTTGGACCCATCTGCCCTATGAGGAAACTGAGGCTTGGAGAAGCTCAGACAACCTTCAATCAGCAACACTACAACCATAGGCTGTACTACTTGGTAACAAACATTTCCCCACTGTATACTCATTACCCCAGAGCCTCCCAACAGTACCCCAGGGACAATAGAGAAATCACCAAGCATTCATATGTTCTCCAAAAGTCTCTAAGAACTAGGTCACCCAAGAAATTGAAAGCTAGTTCATTACCTTGGTGTAGCCAGTCAACACATCCTCTACCCACCCAGCTCACTGCAGAACCTCTAGCCTTTGTATTGGCTATGCTGTTGCTGCCCAGACACAGGGCTATCAGCTCACTGAACTACAGACCCCTTTAATTGTTGGTCTCAGAGAAGCCCCCAGCTAGGTCCCATCAGGGTCCCTATTTTCAGTTAACGGAAACGAGACAGGATGGGGTAACAGGCATAGGGAGCGTTAACGCCTATGGAGTTCACATCTGGGTGCTCTAGGCACATCACCCCACTTCTTCAAGCTTGTTTCCCCCTCTGTAACATAGGTCTGCTGTGGCCCAAGAGGAGATCCCCCACTCCTTCTCTGGCCCAGTCCCAAGTGGCGGTCAAAGAAGGCTCCAGAGCCAGTGGAATGCAGGGTGGGAGGCTTTATTTCACTTGGGGTAAGGAAGAGCCTGGACAGAGGGCAGCACACAGGGCAGGAGAGGTTGGCACTTGGACAGGGACTGGATGGGGGAAAAGCTGCCCCCAGGCCTTGGGAAGGAGAAACTGAGACAGACCCCTATAGAGACCTAACCCAGGGGGGTAGGGGTGGGGGTAGGAATTGGGTCTGGAGGAATGAGGGCCCCCTACTTACAGGCTGGACGGGGGCTTGGCCCTGCCTCACTTTCCTCCTATAGGGCCTTAGTCCCTCCTGTTCACTGGGCCACATGACCCTCAAACCTCACTGTCCCTGCCCCAGAGGAGGAGGCTAGGCCAGAGAGGGTAGTGGACAGGGAGCCTGGGAGAGTTAGGGAGCGTGTGGTGGGGTCCATGGTGCTTGAAGGGGTGGCGGCCACCTGGGCAGTCAGTTCCTGGCAGCGATGACCACAGAGAGAGCCACGCCCCCCAAGGCAACAGCAGTTGCCCCAAACAGCCACTTCCAAGGGATGGACTGTAGATAAAGGGGAGGGAGGAGGAAGCTGGAGGGCAGTCAAGACTGATATCTTGGGCCTCAGGTACCAATACAGCCCACACAGGCCTTCCAACAAGCCACTGCCTGACTGACCATGCCTTTCCTGCTTCCTGGTAAACTGCTACATGTACATCAAAACTCAAGCCAAATCTCCCCTCTCTGGGATACATCCCCTTCCCCTCTGGAAGCACCATCACTCCCCACCCCACGCCCTACAGACTGTATTACACCTTCTGCTTTGGTCCAGGCCACACAGGGGTAGGGCCTGTGTCCCCAGCACGGTCCAACACAGCCCAGGTGATGAGGACATCAATGTTTGCAAAATGAAGACAGTCCCTTTATGTGGTCTATCCTGCCCCTCCTGCAGCAGTCCCTACCCACTGGCCCCAGCTCACCCAGGCACCCTTGCCAGGACACTTGGCAGGCAGCCGGCTGGGGTTGCCCAGCATTTTCCGGTACAGGGCAGTCTCTGTGCTCCGCTGGGCTGCGTGCTTTTTCACTAGCTTCGAGAGCTCTGCGTGGATCGTCTGGGAGAGAGGAGTGGCAGATGGGCTAAGCATGCAACAGCGGCAGCAACCACCATCGCTGGTGCTCTGCCTTTCTGGTGTCCTGGGTCACTTGGACTGGCGCCACAGGAACACAAGGGATTTGTCTGCCCTTCTCTGGCATCAGTAAAGAGGGGACTGCTGGCTCCATGCCTCTAGGGAGCCCATAGATGATGCAGAGCACAAAGTTCTGGGAGGAAAGCTGGGGACACTGGCACTGGCCAAGATGGTGGCACCTTTAGCTTCTGAGACCCCTGGTTCAGAATAAGCCCAGCCCACTTATATATGGATCATAAGTGTCTCAGCAAGCTGGCTAGGGCCGTTCAGACACCTACCCTCTGCCACTGCTCAGGTAGACACACAATAGGGAGAACTACACCAAGGACAAGAGACAGATGACAGGAGGGGCATCCCAGGCAGGCTGATAGGGCAAGTTCCCAGGGCACCCCCATCCTGCTCACCTTGTTGGAAGGTTCCAGCTTCAGGGCTGCCCTCAGGATGGGGATGGCCTCACTGTACTCCCCTTGCTGGGCCAGCACCTATGGGAGAAAGTAGATGGCATCACTCTGGACCCACAACTAGGCCATGCTTTCTTTCATGAAACCCAGACCTGCCAGGCTCCTGGCCAGCCTGTCAAGTCCCAAATCTATCCCCAGGAGTTCAGTCATCCCACTCTGCTCTCCTGAGCCCTCAAGACTCCATGATCACCCCATTGGATTCAATGTTGTCCACCCAACCTTCTCCTTCCCTGAGTGTCTGTTTCGGCCTGTGAAGAGACCCAGTCATCCACTCCTCCCTTACCCCTTGCCTGGATACTTCCAAAGCTCTGACCACAGTGAATGACTCAGAGCCAGCATATAACTCAAGCCAACCAATAAGATCCAGCCTGAAATATGCTGGTACCACTGGGAAGCTGGATGTTAAGCAGCAAGGATGTAAGCCTGGAGCTTTTGAGGGGCAAGAAAGAGCATCTTGGTCACTCCCAAGAGAGGAGCCTGCCTGAGAGAACCCACAGCAGACCAACACAGCATCCCCATAACATTGCTAATGCCTGGATCCAGCCCTGCCTCAACCCAGCACCCCCAGATTTGACAGGGTCACAACTATCCTCCTTTTGCTTAAATCTTTTTGAGTGACTTTCTGTCACCTCCAACCAACATATCCAAATATGTGAGCTACACAAGCAAGGTTATAAACCCTTGAAAAATAGGATTGACATTGTGTTCCTCTCCACATTTCTATGCAGAACTCCACACATAGTGAGTGCTTAAAAAAATGCTGGTTGGCCCTGGCTGGTGGTGGCTCAGTTGGCTGGAGCATCACCTGTAAACTGAAAGATCATGGATTCAATTCTCGGTCAGGGTACATGCCTAGGTTGCTGGTTCCACCAATCAGTGTTTCTCTCTAATCAATGCCTGTCTGCCTGTCTCTCTCT